CCCGCTCTTTACTACTCGAAGGAGTCTCAGAGTGGCTTACAATCTCCTTTCCCTTCCCCTCCCCATAACAGACACCCTGTGAGGTAGGTGGAGCTGAGAGAGCTCTGACAGAAACTGCTCTTTTTCAAGAACAGCTCTGAGAGAACTTGGATTGACCCAAGGTCATACCAGCTGCATGTGGAGGAGTGGGGAATCAAACCCGGTTCTCCCAGATTAGCGTCTGCACTCTTAACCACTACACCAAACTGGCTCTCAAGGGAAGGGGGCATGACTCAGCTTAACCTGAGACCCCAGGGTCAATCCCCAGTATTTGCATCAGGTAGCAGGTGATGTGAAAGATTTTGACCTCAGACCCTAACAGTGTTGACAGTTCTGACCTTGACAGACCAGTGTTCTGTCAGCTTCATATGTAATAGGATGCTCAAAATAAAAATTGACCAGATTGCAGGTTCTCACTTTAGGATTATGGAGGTCTGTCTCTAAACCCAACACAAAAGACCCCGGTAAACCCATAACTGTATTGAAACATTGCAATGTGGAAGTGGATTTTTGCAATTTGATTTTGGGAGGGCTGTTATCAGAAGCTCTTGCAATGCCACACAGTTCTGTCAGTGGCTTTTATTTGAGAAATTGTGGATGGATTTCCTGTTAATGTAACCGCTCTAGAAACACTATGATACAGTTTGCATTTGTTGGTTTTATGGCACGTGATGTAAAACTAACCTCTGTACATTTTATGCTTACTAAGATGAACCCTTTTGTCTAGAAAAAAAATCTATTTATATAAACTATGTGCCTTCTCTGCTCTCAGATGGCTACAATTATGTGTCCGCACTAAGCCTGCTTTTAATTTATTACATATTTATTTCTTGGGTTTGCATCCCACTCTCCCTCACTGCCATGGGCCTCAGAGTGGGTTACACCATGGAATAAATAAAACTACAAATACAATTTCAGAGACAGCTGCCTTGCAAGCTGCAAATATGAGAACTATCTTGCCTTTTCTTGTAACATTATACCTGTTCCCGGCTAATATGAAAAGTGAGTAAAATGCTGTTGGTTTGGGGTTTGTTTTTGTTTTTTTGCTAGGATGTGGATGAAGTGTACGCAGGAGATATCTGTGCATTGTTTGGCGTCGACTGTGCTAGTGGGGATACGTTCTCTGATAAATCCAGCACTGACCTTTCCATGGTAAGTTCTTTCCCGGTTAAATGACTACAGCTTTCTTTGGATTTCATTCATAAACAATGCCTTTACATGTGAAAAAGAAGTCCTTTAAAAAAGAAGTTTATTTTTTATTTTCAGAATGCTGTTACAGCTATTACAAAACCCCTAAAGGGTATATAGGTTCATACTGACAATAGTTCCAAAAACTGCCAGGGTTAAAGGGCAGGGTCTCCAGTGTACAATGCGATAGATACACTGTATTTAAAATATAGTTACAAATAGGTTCTGTTAAATGTGAAACTGTGCTCAAAATTCTGAGCCTCTCCAGAAGGATCTGCCCAGTCTTGGGAGGTAACTTAGCCTCCTGGATGCTTCCAGAAGGGAGAGAACGGAAACAGGCCCCAGGCTTGAGAATATTTTGTTGCAGTTTGCTGGTAAGTGGGGAATGGAGTGCACGTGAGTCATTTCGCAGGCGACAAGCCAGCTTTTCCGAGTGATGTGCACTCATAAGGGCACTGCCACCAATCCCAGCTCCCCGATTGACCGGCATTATAAACAAGATTGCTGTGTTCACTCTTTTGCACTTTCTGGCATGCCTCTTCAAAACGTAATTCCAGAGCAGTAGCTGTGATCGTGTGGGGTAGTAAAAAATGAAACAGGACTCCGGTAGCACCTTAAAGACTACCAATATTTATTAGACACCATGTGCTTCTGGTAAAGTGAGCTTTGACTCATGAAAGCTTATGAAACCTTATTGCTGGAATAACGCTGGGTAGTGTTTAAGCTGCTACCGGACTACTGTTTACATTTACAACAAAAAACTCAATAGTGTCCTCCTATCTGGATATGGAGTGTTCCCATGGTCCTTTGCAATTGCCGCAGTTCTTCCCATCCCCTGGAAAGATCAGTCCTGGGACCCTAAGATCTGTGCAGAGGAACAGCCATCAGGGTCAGCAGGCTGGAGGAAGGATAGGATGGTAAAATTGCTCCTTCCGGTCAGCCAAGCTGCATTTCCGGAAGAGGGAGGAGGAACAGTTTCAGTTTCTGGTCCTACCTCGTTCCAGGCCTCCCCTCCACTTGTGCACCTGTTCCTCTGTGCGTTCCCTGTGACTGATGTTTCCAGGGGTCAGAAAGACCCTGCATCGATGCAGAGGAACATGGGCAAACTATACCTTCTGCACACACAGTGGTTGAGACACTGTCTACTGGGCATCGCTGCCCTGCATTTGGGAATGCACAAGCACCACTGTGCCTTTCTCTGTAGAGTCATTTTGCAAGGAAGTTAAGTAAGTACACAGAAAGGGTAGCTGTGAAGAGAATTTGCCTGAAATGTCACTTGAGCCAAGGCCCTCTGAAACAAGTGGAACCTTTGCAAGAGTCTAGCAAATGGGCACAAAGCCCAAAATGTCAACTAAGAGGGAAAACCTTTGACTGTTAGAACACCTCTTTTGGTGCTTCACAGTGACAAGTTTCACATGCCTTTCATTGAATGTATACCTTGAATAGTAGCCAGTATTATAAACACACTGAACACGCACAGTAAAGATTTCTGTAAAGATTGTTTTTATACTGAAAAGTGGTATTTTTCTCCCTTTTGTAGGAATCTATTCATGTCCCTGATCCTGTCATTTCTGTAGCAATGAAGCCATCCAACAAGGTATGACTCTGAAAAATGGCCATTAGTAAATTATTTTCTCAGTTTGGGATGGAATGTTGTGGTCTTAGAAAGAAAAACAGAATGATGTATTTGCATCTATTGAAGTGTACGAGTATGTTGTGATTTTTAGGTTTTTGTCACGCCCTTCCTTTGAGGAGCAGGGAGTGGCATACATGTTTCTTCCCCACCCACCCTTTTATTCTCACAAGATTCCTGAGAGGCAGATTAGGCTATTTGTGTGTGACTGGCCTAAAAGCACTTAGCAAAGTTCATAGCAGACTGGGGATTTGAACCAGATCTCTCTCTCTCTTGTTATTCTGAAAGTAACCCCTATACCACACTGACTACCTTTTCTTCTGGGAAATGGGTCACATTTGCCATTGTGAGGGCTCCCCTTCTGGCGATGGACTCTGTGCCTCAGCCAAGGGATAATGTTGTGGCCGCATGTGAGAGGTTCCCAGCTGAGCCACTGTGGTGTAGTGTTGAACTGTTGGGCTGTGACTAGAGAGGTCCAGGTTCAAGTCCTTGCTCAGCCACAAAGCTCACGTGGTGCCCTTTTGCCATTCACATGCTCTCAGCCAATGTTCCCTCTAAGCTGCACAGTCTTGTGAGCAAAAATTCTACTTTGTGAGCTACTGGCATTAAAGTTGTGAGCGAGCTATTTGGCTACTGCTTAGATTAGTCTGCTCTGGGGCCCTCCTTCCTGTGCTAAGACAAAAATGTGTGAGCCGGAGGCTAAAAAACTGTGAGTTGGCTCACACTAACTCAGCTTAGAGGGAACACTGCTCTCAGCCTCATCTACCTCATGAGGTCACTGTGAAGATGAAATGTAGGAAGGGAGAATCACGTATCTTGAGCTCCGTGGAGGAAGAATGGGATAAAAATGTGGTATCTAAAGAGTTCATAATATTCTGAAGCCAGTGTGTTTCATGCATACAAATGGCTTATGGAAACTGCCCAGTTGCACATCGATAGGTTTTTGCTAGAAACAAAATCCTTTAGACCAGGGCTTTTTTTGTAGCATTAGCATAATTGGCCACACACAACAGCAGAAACTCATTAGCATATTAGGCCACACCCCTGACAGCACAGGTCATTAGCATATGAGGCCACACCCCTGTGTTACCAGAAGTGTGCTCATCCAGCCACACCCACCTTTTGCTTCTTATTCTGTTTACCTTGTTTGTTGTCAAAAACCAGGGCTTTTTTTGTAGCAGGAATTCCTTTGCATGTTAGGCCACACACCCCTAATGTAGCCAATCCTAATGAGTTTCTGCTGTTGGGTGTGGCCTGTTATGCCAATGAGTTCCTGCTGGGCGTGGCCAACTCAGGAGCCAGCCAGAACTCCGTTCCTGTGCGTTCATGCCCAAAAATAGATTCTCTTCGGACTGAATCATATTAACTGATATTGTGGATAATACTGTGGATTTCCCCCCCCTGCTTGTTAGAATGACCTGGATAAATTTTCAAAAGGCATTAACCGGTTCACCAGAGAAGATCCTACTTTCAGAGTTCATTTTGACAACGAGAACAAAGAGACCATTGTTTCAGGAATGGGAGAACTACATCTGGAAATCTATGCTCAGGTGATTGATTGCTAAAGGCTACATTGGAGAAACATGATTTTGGGTCTCCCTAGTGGAGCATTCTTCTTAACTTGGCATTTAAACATCGTCCTACGCTAACTGAAAACTGCTTCTGTAGCTGCTATGGATGATGGTAGCTATACAATACAGGCCCCAAACCCACAGCTGGATTTGTGCTTACAGTTTCTTCACATCCCATTTGTAGAGATAGAGGAGAATTTATTCACAATTACAGGGTGTGAACCATATCGTATATGACTATAAAAATGTATCTGTTTACAAAGGTGGGATATGGGGGAGGGCTTTACAGCTGGTGTAAGAAGATATTTTTTACAAGATAACTTCACCTGAACAGTCAGACTTCACGCTGGCTGGCCATTTTCCCTATGATTGTAAATAATATTCAAGACAAATTTGGGTTCTTCTACCAGATTTTGTCCCCTTAGCAGCCCATTCTAATCACCGTACATTTTTGTGTGTTCCCCTTTCTTCATCTAGAGAATGGAAAGAGAATATGCCTGTCCTGTTGTTATAGGAAAGCCCAAAGTAGCCTTTAGAGAGAGCATTGTGGCACCGGTACCGTAAGTATCCACTACAGTGAGGGAGGGCCGGGGATGTTGCCTTTGGTCCAAACCGTATAGATGGAATGGAGGGTTTTCTGAGCCTAAGAGAGCTTGTGGCCTAGCCCTTATTCTAGCTGTATGCAGATGATTATTTTAACCACCTCTAATAGTAGTATTGAAGGCATTTTGCTAATCTTGTGCTGCGCGTTTTGGCTGGCGGCTATTCCGTATTACTTTCACTCCATGCTGCGGGTGCCAGAGAACTTGCATGTGCCAAGGGATGATTTCCTGCAGATTAAAAAAATAAATAAACAGGAATTCCGTGTTAGAGAGCATCAAGCAAAAATCATGTCCTAATTCCCATCTGGGGCATTCTTGTTATGCTTGCTACTTTCTTTCCTTTTCTCCTCTCCCCCAGCCATTCTTCACTAACCTCTTATTGTTAATGGAACACGGAGTTACAGACTGGCAAAGTCTAGAACTGTGAAATATCTTTAGATAATTACATGACCTATTGTGTCAAGGCGGACTTTTCACAAATTTCCAATGTTGGTGCCTGGGTAGCTCATAGCCACAGTGGACTGTGAGACCAAATGTAAACTGGCTTTGTTTTGGCAGTGCTTCTGTAGCAGTGTGCAATACACATCGGAGAACAGCACTTCCGCTATGGATCTAGTTTGGGGGACCTTTGCAAATGGTACCTGTACCTTTCCTGTAGACTGCGGCCTTCTCTGGCCTTCCTCAGTATTCTTACCCTGTGCTCTCACTGGTTTCTGCAGCTTTTTCTAAGCCAACGGGTGACCCAACACATATATGGCCAGTCTCTTTCATATGTGTGCTTGTATATATGAGAGGGATGACGGAATGGAGTACAGTGAAATCTTTCAGGAAGGTGTCAGTGTTCAGGCGTGTTTCACAAAGTTAGCTAGGTCGTGCTTCAAAGGGCCTGATGCATTCCAATTGTGTCTTCACATGGAAAATTTCAGTGTGGGAACTGCAGCTGTTTAGAATTCAGCTGTGACTGCATGAAGCCCTTTGGTTATGTCATCTGGCCCTTTGGATACCTATATTTTAAAAAATGGTTAATGGACTCGCTTTGCTGTGCTTTGATTAATGTGGAATGGGTGCTGCCCTTGAAGTGGGTGGGACATCTCGGCCAGGGCTCTCTCTGTCGATGCCATAATGGGGCTGACCTTGGAGTGGTGGAGCAGTGTGTGGAGGGCTCAGCCTCACAGGAGGGGGATTGGGCTTTAATAGTCCTTTGCGTGCTTATGATCCACAGGAGGGGAGGAAGTAGCTGCTCCATGAGGAGAAGGGTCAGAGAGCTAACCAAAGAAATCAGGGTGTATTTAAAATCATCAGCTAATTAAAGAAACACAACTTTATTTTATTTATTTCACTTACTAGCAGTAAAGCCCGTTGTGAAAGCAATACAACGGGATCTAGAAAGAGGCTCTGGGGCAGTGCTCTGGCTTTGGGCAAACAGTGTCAATTTGCTGTGGTGACCTCAGCAGGGTATAATGACAGAGTCCACTGTTTTCTCCAGAGGAACTGATCTCTGCTACCTGAAGAGCAGTTGTAATTGTGAGTAATCTGTAGCCCTCACCTGGAGATTTGCAACAATTGTTACCCAGGACGAAATGGCTGGTTTGGAGGGTGGAGTCTATGGCATTCTACCTGTCTGAGGTCCAACCCCTCTGCAAATCCCACCCTCTCCAGGCTCCACCCCTCAAATCCCCAGGAATTTGTCAGCATGTAGTTGGCAACCCCATCTCCTTCCCAGCTAGCCATCAACCTACCATTATCTGCCCCTTTGACTTCAGCTGACTTCTGCCCTCCCTTCTGCAGAGCAGTTGTAATACTGAGTGCTCTCCAGCCCTCACCTGGAGATTGGCAACAATGGTTCCCTATGTGGGACTGACTGGTTTGGAGGGTGGAGTCTATGGCAGTGTACCTGTCTGAGGTCCCACCCGTCCTCAAACCTCACCCTCTTCAGGCTCCATCCCTCAAGTCTCCAGGAATTTCCCATCTGGAGTTGGCAACCCTATCAGGATTGGCCCCAATGTGTTTTCTCCCAAAGGCCAAAGTAGGTGACAGGACCAAGCTTAGTTGCCTACCAACAGGCACTGAGGGGAATGTAGGGTTGCCAGCTCTAAGGAGGGAAATACCTGGAGGTTTGGGGGGTGGATTCTGTAGAGGGCCGGGCGACGGAGGCATCGGCCTTCTGTCGCCCGCCTTGCCCCCCCAATCTCGGCCCGGGCGACCGCGGCTCC